GACGCGGGTCCGCTGTTGGTGCAAAGACGCAACAACGGGATGGACCGTCAAAAAACGGACAGGATCAGTAGGTGCGGAGCACCCTACTGGTCCAGCAACGTCAAGAGAATTTGTAGGCCTCTTGATGAAGGTTGCTCCCAACACACAAACGTTGTGCGTTGCTGCTCTAGGTAATGAGATCTCACTCATTACCTTGAAACTCGAAGTGACAAATAAGTTGTCCCTTCGAGCTCTAGTCGATTGTGGGGCGTCCAACAATTTTGTGCAATGCCAATCGCTAGAAGATGGTCACTTTAAGCTCAGTGAATGTGACACACCTCCTACGAGGATGACGGTACGTCTTGCGACAGGCGCATCCGTAACCGTCATGAAGCGTACAGTGAAGATCCACTATACGCTAGAAGATATCCAATATGACGATGACTTTATCGTATTCGATTTGGATGACAAATTTGATGTCATCCTTGGAATACCGTGGCTCAGAAGGTACGAACCACGGGTAAACTGGCACCATCGGACAGTAACGACGCCTGCCGCTTGTTCATCAGATGGCCATCTGATGAACGTTTTGGAGCGTCCACAAGCGTGTGGATGTACTACGAGTGAGTGCGATGGCCTCACTTGTGGTACGGTCGTTAGTACGACTGCACAAAACCTTAGTGTACCAAACGGTTACACTTCGGAGCAAAGTTCCGGCGGCTGTGAGGAAACACAGGCTGCGCCGAAGGTCCACCACTCGAATAAGCCGGGTGGACTGGGACAAAGATGTATCCCTAGCGGGGAACATCTAGAAGAGAAACAATCGATCGCTCAGGTTAAGCGAAACGATAATCCTAGATCGACTGGAGAGTCTTTCGTAGAGGATATCGCTGTGGTTGCGCAACCCCAGCTAGAGGAAGTAAAGGGAATAAGTCCCAAGATTACAAATACGGCGGAAATAAGTTCCCCGAAACCCGCGGGAATAAGTCCCCGGGAAGCCGAAGGAATAAGTCCTTCGAAGCCTGAGGGAATAAGTCCTCAGGAAATGACAGAGACATTGAATGTCATAGTCAATAACGGATCAAGTGTAGGCGCTTATACACTTGATATGATTGCGCCTCAGAAGTTAACTTCGGAGATCACTCAGTTGCCAACGCTCGAACATAAAAGGTTCTTGCGTGATCTGCGTAGTGGCAAAGTCAAGCAGATCTGCGTACTCGTCGCTGACGACGAGTGTGTAACCGACATAAGGTCAGCAACAGTGTTTACTGAGAACGAGAGAGTTCTCAGTAGTTCATCTATGGACGAGAGTGTCCTAGATGAAAAGACACGAATTGAGCGATATGACTCCCAATCGTGGGAATCGCTCAAAACAAATCCTCTCTACGAAGATTTGGTTGAATTCAAGGATGTATTCCCTGAAACTGTTCCGTGCGAATTACCGAAGGATAAAGGTATTCGACACGAGGTCGAGCTTAAACCAGGCTCGAAGTACTGTGTCATGAAGCAGTGGCCACTGCCTCGTGAACAAGTACTTGCGATCGGCAAGTTCTTTGCCGATCGTTTAGCTGCGGGCCATGTGAGGGAATCAACTTCCCCACATAGCTCTCCGACCTTCTGTGTGCGAAAAGCAACAGGAGGGTGGCGGATAGTGCATGCATTTAACAAGTTGAATGCTGCAACGGTACCGGCTCAGACGCCGATACCGAGGAAGGACGTAATCATTGATGGTATGTCAAAGAGTACCATCTTTTCGTCCATGGATTTGATGGATGGCTTCTATCAAATCCTTATGCGGGAACGGGATATACCCTATACCGCAGTGAGCACGCCTAGCGGCATGCTCTGGGAATGGCTAGTAATGCCACAAGGGCTTAGTAATGCCCCTGCCACGTTCAACAGATGTGTATCACATCTGTTGAGACCAGTACGAGAATTCGCGCCGAGTTATTTCGATGACGCATTCATCCATAGTCCGGCTATGGATGGAAAGTCGGACGCTGAGGTTCACAGGTACCACGTCCGACAGGTTCTTACGATCATGCGAAAGCATCAATTGTATGCTAACCTCAAGAAGTGTATATTTGCATCAAGCGAAATACCACTTCTTGGGGGCATCGTTGGTAAGGACGGTGTACGTCCTGATCCCGAAAAGATCAAGGCGATCACCGACTGGCCTGTGCCGGTTGATGTCAAAGGTCTTCGAAAATTCCTTGGGCTAGCGGCGTATTTGCATAAATATTCACGCAATTACGCCGAGATGACTGTGCACCTCTCTCGTTTGTTGAAAAAGAACGAGAGGTGGTATGGAACGCTGAATGTCAGTGCTCCTTTGATGGTATCAAGCAGAGCTTGATACAATCCCCAGTCCTAGCAATAGCCGATCAGGACAGGCCGTTTCATGTGGTCTGTGATGCCAGCGATTTCGCAATCGGCTGTGCATTAATGCAGTACGACCTAGAAGGCGTTGAACGCGTCATCTGCTATCAGTCGCGTCAGCTGCAACCAGCTGAGCGGAACTATCCAGTGCATGAAAAGGAACTCCTTGCCATGAAGTATGCACTCGCGAAGTTCAGAGTCTATCTATTAGGAGATAGACCCTTCATTGTTTACACTGACCATGCGTCATTACACACGGCAGTGAACAGCCCGCACCTTTCACAACGAATGGTGCGGTGGTTGTCATTATTTGCGGAATACAACTTTACGGTCGAGTACAAACCAGGGCGACTTAATGTCGTCGCTGATGCACTCTCACGTCGTCCCGACTTTGAAACAGTCGCGAAACCCAACAGTGAGACAGTCACTGTTGCGGTTATGACGTCCTCAGTCCTATCTACAACGTTGTATGATGATGTAAGGCGGGCATACGCACAAGATGGTGAGATTGTGAAGTTGTTGACACATCTCTCACATCCATCTCGAGAATCGTTGAAACGATTGTCGCCTGCGTATCGATCTGCATCAGATCGATACACTACTCGCAACGGGTTAATGTATTATACAGCCGTTTCTGGTGACACACCACGTGTTGTCATTCCAGATGATACTGATCTGCGTTTGCGGATCATGTTCGAGTATCAAGATGCTCCTAAAGGAGGACATCGTGGCCGGGAGAAAACATATCTCACGGTGAGTCGAGACTTTTACTGGCCCCGCCAGTATCAGTTTGTGCGAAAGTATGTTCGTGCATGCGAAGCCTGTCAACGAGTGAAGTTAAGTCCTTCACTTCGTGCACTTTTACAGCCTCTACCGGTTCCGGCTGAGTGCTGGGAATCCATCTCAATGGATTTCGTCTTCGGGTTACCCAAAGACGCACGCGGGAATACGGGTATTCTCGTATTTGTTGACAGATTCAGCAAAATGGTACACCTTATGGCTGTACCAGAGACAATCACGGCAAGTGGCTGTGCCTGTGTCTTTATTGACACCATCTTCCGACTTCATGGGTTGCCCCATGAACTCGTATCAGACAGAGATCCACGATTCACTGCTTATTTCTGGCGTTCCGTGTTCAAATCACTCGGAACGCGCTTGAAGATGTCGACATCTGATCATCCAGAGTCAGATGGTCAGACCGAACGTGCCAATCATGTCCTCGAAGAGATACTTCGAGGATACGTACACTCCTTTAAGAGTTGGAGTGAGTTTTTGCCAATGGTAGAGTTTGCCATTAACAACTCGGTGCATGCGTCCACGACACATACACCGTTTTACGTGAATGGCTTGCGCCATCCGCGTGTACCCACCTTACTAGAGTGTAACTCTGGTTTAAGGGGGGAGGGACTCGCGCGAGCAAAACCCGATTTGGTTCACGCTCATCACGCTCTGACGAAGAGGTCATTGCGTTTGATGCCGATATCGATAACATCGATATCGAAGAAGATGATGCTAGTGAGAGTGGGAAGCCCTCACTAAGAAATGATCCAGTGAGAGTGCGGAAGCCCTCACTGAAGAAAAGGTTGATGTTGCTGCAGTGCGCATACAGCGCACTGAAGCTAACGAGTCATCAGATGAGTTCATACTGGCTCGTGAAACGGTAGTCCGTTTTGTGCAAGACTCCATCGCCGAAGCGGTGGATAAGCAAAAGCAAAACGCTGATAAGAATGGAAGGGCAAACACTCTTTTTTTAATAAAGGTGACTTAGTCCTACTGTCTACGGTTAATCTACCAAAGCATGTAGTGACTAACTTGGGTAGCAGTAAACTACTACCCAAGTACATCGGCCCATTTCGTGTATTGCACCGCCTAGGCAATGCATACACGATCGAGTTGCCACGTAAGATGCGAACGCATCCCACATTTTACGTTGGTCGGCTTAAGCCGTACCATCAGTACGCTGCTTCTTCCGATGAAGAACGTCCTTGCGCTCAAGCATCTCGCAGAGAGCCTTGTGCTCCCGATGGTGGGCATCGACAAGGGTCTGAAGAGCGGTTATCTCATCCCGAGACCGATCAACAATCCCGCGAGCTACCCTTAGCTCGTCACGAAGAGATGTCAGAGCTCTCTCGTTCTCAAGCTGAGCAAAGGCAAACTCAGCTCGATGCTTCGAGGCAGTGTCCGCCAGTTGGAGACGCTTTTCCCGCTCATATTCGAGATCGCCGCGTAACCCTTGCGTTACGCGATCAAAGAAGCTCTCGGGAACACACGGATCCCCATGATCGCGTGGAGAGCGTCTTCCCTCCTCCTCCACCTCCATTAGAGGACTCTCGCGGTGGCCAGCGCTATCTAGTTGGGCAGCTGTTGAACCACCGCGACGTGAACGGACGTCGGACGAGTTATCTCGTCCGGTGGCGCGGCTATCCCTCGTCCTGGGATACTTGGGAGCCCCGCTCCCAACTGATGATCGACGTACTGGGTCTGGTTGAGCAGTATGACGCGGCACATCCTGTGCCGCAGAAGGACCGCCGGAGAAAGTCTTCCCGGCACGGTCGTAAAGGGATTTCAGGTTGTCAATCCCTTCGTACATCTCACTAGAGATACGTACGCGTCACCACGGGCTATTAGGGAGGTAATCCTCCTTAGGTGCGCGCGCAGATTTGTTCACACAACATAATCACGAGTCTCCCCAAGAGAGGCAGGGTAATCCTTTCTCCCTTGACAGACGTTGCAGCTTGTAGCGTGCACCTGTCGGGGATCGCTTTGTCAAACTTTTCACGAGCTTTGATAAGTTTGTCGTTCCAAGCGTCACGACCTACATCCTCGAGGTTATGGATGTAGGCGTTCCACGCTTGAAGTAGTGAGGGACCATCACGCTTGTGATTCCCACTGTACCATTGATGTCTAAAGAAAGCATCGATGAAGAATTCATGTTCAGCGCGATAGGTTTTCGCACTGGGGTCAAGGTGATGGATCCTTGACGAATCGAACAATCGTGTTCGATAACGATCACTCGTCGTCGCCGACAAGTGATCCATGACGGATTTTGAAGGCATCCATGCCTTCTTCTCAGGAGCGAGACGCAAGACATTGCGATCCCGCTCTTCCTGCGATGTGCCGACAGAAGTACTGGCACCTCGTTGCGAAGTGGTGTCCATAGGAGAACCGACACCACTGTTAGCGCCCGAGTCTCGCGACCTCGAGCGCCTTCGCTTCGGCGATGGTTCATCTGATTCATCAGATGAACCAAAGATGCTACGACGCATAGCATCATCCATGCCACGCTTGGCAGGCGGCTTGGATTCGGTCGCCGTTGATACGGATCCGTCTTCCGTATCAGGAGAGTATGAGACACCGAGCTCATACTCTGTGAAGACATGAGTGTCTTCATGACCAGCGCCTGCATCACCAAGTGACACAGGCTGGGTCGCTTCAGCAACCGATGAGAGATCAGTTGCTGTAGTTTCTGCTTCGGAATCCGCACAGAGACGTGCGGACGCGCTCTCGGCGGCCTTGCTCGCGCATCGCATGGGCTTGTTAACCATGCGATGAAATGTTGGAAAGTGGACTCGGACCAACAAGTGCAAATCCTGTCCTAAATGATTTGGCACGAGTATCCATTTAGTCAATCAGTCACTAAAGTGACTGATGGTTAAGGGGGGGGTGATGTAACGGGGTGAATCGTTACATAACAATTTATAAGAAATTGTTAATAGAATATAACTATAAGAGTTATATTCTCAGATTATTGTCATAAGGACAAATATTCTGTAGCACTTACGAGTAGCTCCTAATTGGTTGATTTAGGCCATTTTATCAACCAACGAAGACGCGCCACGACAGACGCACGCAATGAGTGGTGAGCAGATAGTTGATATGCACATTTGTATTCAGACATAGTTAGATGAAGATAAATAGTGGTTTATTAACAGACATTAACTATACTAAATACAGTTCTACTTTTTACTTTAACCAAGTACTCGCTTCTTCTTACCGTCTTCCTCTTCACGTACGAGTGTACGTGAAGTTCCGAGGCACCGCCTTATTCTGTCATCAGAATAAGTAGCTTGTACTGTCACCAGTACAAGCTTCAGGGTGCCCGTTACAGACAAGGCTTTTGGACACAAGATCGCGAGACGTCTCAAGTGCTTATAGATTTGAACAAGGATTTTAAGACAAGACCAAGCAACACTCAGCGATCAACAGGACAGGTCGGCACGTTTCATTTTGGCGAAGCGCAAGTTCTAAATGGACTAAGCTGCGCACTTCTGACAAGAGCGGCCGATGTCGAAACCAGATCGGACCGATCTCAAGGCAAGATCGATGCAGAATTATTTTAATTGCTGAGTGAAGGTTCCCGCACAGTGAAGACCCCAATGCCTACAACAAGATCGAGATTGGTGCAATCCAGGATTGACATTGCGACATTTCAGAATAAGAGATCACAGCGACTCACGATCAAGGTTGCAGAACCCGGTTCGTGGTGTGAAGATTTCCGCACCGGAAGCAAACTCTCAACCCCAAACCCCATCGAAAGCGATATCTCCCGGGGTCATTACGAAGAGCTCAAGCCAGTCAAAACGACGGGAACAAAAGGTGAGCGCAACGTTTTACTGAAATGCACGTATCGGAGTACCCCCTCGTAATTAGGCAAGTCCGGGCAAGTGGATAGTAGACGATCACATCTGCAAATTTGTGAGATGGACTTCACCACACTAATCTCGGTTGGTGGTCAAATTGTGGAAGAATGATGACGTAGTCGTCCGTCGGTAACTGATGCACACACCGTTCAACAGCTGCTTATTCAATTAAAACTTATTACATAAATTGAACTCAGAGGACCACGGAAAAATCGTGTAAGCTTTGAAAAGAAACATGGAAATACGTGACTCTTCAAACATTAGCTCGACCCGCTCATTAGATAAAAATGACAGCAGTTATGTTTAAGTATGCTTTTGAAACAGTATGAAGAAACCCGAAATTACTCCCTTTACCTGACTGCAGACTTACAGAGTGGCTACCTGAACGCCGTGTACACATCCTGCATCATATTGTGTACTCGCTTTCTGAAGTGTCACACACCTCGGAAGACTTGGTTACGGTGTATAAAGTAGCACTAATAAAGAGAAGACCCGGGGAACATATGGATGTAATTCACTTGGTGGGCCATGAAATGGCCACTCGATTTGCCTAGTGGATAGCGAACTTATAACCAATCCGTTTGTGGGTTGTCTGATCTGTATATTTCATCAGTTGTATCAGCAGTGACAACCAAATGGTCTTTTTCTTATGTCTTTAACCCAGAAGAAGGGAGGCCGCTTCCAACAGTGGTTCTTGAGGGGGGTGTCACTACAAGACATGAACCTACAGGCCAATAAAGTCCAAAGCTCTACCTGAGCTTAGGTTTGTTCATCGCAACTGTCTTCTTTGGGGAGCCAAATCACATTCCTTCCCTGGAACAGGAGGGTAAGATCTACACATTTTTACCCGGTACAACGAAATAGGGGCACAGAAACGTACTGTGTTCGTTTCTGTGCCCTGATATTTTTCTTTGACTGGCCAGGATATTCTTGAGCTTAAAGGACCGAGATCTACCCGCAAGGGACCGGACCTACCGGTTTGTAACCGTGTCTACCGATGACGGCCAAGGTCTACCGATGAGGGCCAGGTACACTAATGAGGTCCTCTGAAAGTCCCTAGGAATGAGGTCTACGACCAGGGACCGGACCTCCAGGTGAAGGACCGTTGTCGATTTTCTTAAGTTCCCTGAAACCATAAACCTGGTAATAATTCCCCCATTAAGTCTGCCATCTTTGGTCGTTTCAAGGTTGTATCCTCTCTGTATTCCTTTTTCATTAGTACCTCCGATTCAATAAACCCTAGGCCCAACACTTATGTAAAGATCACCACAGCCACCTCCTACACTTGCTCATCCGTGCAGAGATTTTAGCACGCGCATGTTGACGCTACGTGGTTCTCGTAAATTATCTTGCTTTACCAGATTCAATTGTTCCTCGTCTCATAAAATTGAACCAGAAACAGATTTACTCGGGTCCAATCTTTCGCTAGAGACTCCGACTTTAGTGTCCCTGTCATAAACTCGCCCACCGTGTTCGTTCGAGACCCCTGGAACCCCTCTCCAATGCTGACCGACCTGGTCCATATTGCCCTTACCAATCGCTGGCATTATGATGCCGCTCTTGCGCCATCTAGCACATTCGAGGATGCCTCCACCACGCTAACTGACCACCAAGAGGTTTTGTCCGAGCTGATTGACTCCGTCAATTATAAATCGTAAAGCTCTGTGATATGGTGAAGCAAATTCTCGAAACTACGTGTAGAGCCCCCAAAAGAAACATATTGTCGGACTGCCGAATTACGGAGGGGGGATACTCTGATTACACGTATGGACCTTAAATCTCCTTGTGTACCCGCCTTCTGGATGGTTGCGCTCGCAGGTCGACTCGGAAGGAGAGGGAAATGCTTCGGTCTTGACAGATGTAGATTTGGGTCCCAATTGAATATAAGCTTCACTGGGTGGACAGGTAATAGGCTACTCGGTCGATTCAGTTAAGAGTGTACCGATTACCAAGTTCTTCGGGTGCTTGTCCCTCCTGGTTATTTGCTTCTTGTATTAAAAGAGTCAACCTCCTGGCCTTCACTTCACTCCATAAAATTATGGTAGGGAGGTTGCCTCCGATAGCGGGTCTTGAGCGGGTTGTTGATGATTGACAAAGGCACCAGCCAGATACTTTCTAAGCTCTATAAGTGCTTATGTCTTACCTCGCAACTGTATTGAACGGGGGCTAAGGCAAACTATATCCATTACTAGGAACAGGCGGGTAGACTTACCAAGTTCCTTATGACCGACGAAGTCGTACCACGTGGATCGCAAACTGAGTTGTGTTTAGTACCGTCATACTTTACCATTTAATTTCTTTACTGTTTCCTGCCTTTGTGCTCTGGATCTTTATGTGACTGGTAAAGATAAGCTGGATATTAAAATACCATTTCTACTATTGAGCGACTAGGACTACCGATCAAAAATCGATTCTACCGATAATGGATCAGGTCTAAAGATGAAGGAAAGGGTACATCGGTCATAGACCGCGGTCACTCTTAAATAACGCAAATAACTCTTGGGGACTGGATTGACCAATGTGAATTTGTAGCCATCTTCTTTCGGCACTGATAAACCAGTACTCGAGCAACGGTCTTCTCTTTGATGATTCTGCAGGTCCTCTTCCCCAAAGGTCTGAACGCTATTGTGTTTTCTTCTTTCAAGCTTCCTTTCTTTAAAGGTATCCCGTATTACCTTCATCCGAATAGTCTCCGGGTCCATTATCGTATCCGAGCGCACTTCACCACAGCCACCCTTTGCACTTATTCAGCCGTACAAGGGTTCAAGTAAGCGCATGTCATCGTCACCCCTCTCTCCTAGAGCTGTGTGCTTGATCTCAGTTAGGAAGTCTTTGTCTGATAAATGTCATTCTACCCATGTCTTCGCCTGGGTCGAAACTACCCCCTGAATAGCCCGTTCGGTTGACTCCACACTGGTTGTCAACCCTCCAGATTTAGACATCGTTCCTTCGCCGAACGCCACGACCTTCTGCTTCTCCACCACTTTGGTCGTGTCGGTGATATACCCAGTCCTCTCCCTCAGTCGACCTGCGTGACCGACGCTTCGTCCGTCCGTTGACGCCGACAACGGGCGACCCGATCTCCTCCACTCATTCGGAAGTCACGACCGGCGTTTTGTCCGAGCCAGTGGTCGCATTAAGGGCGACCCGATCGCCTCCATGATTTGTATCGCTGGTGACCATCCCATTTTTCGGACGCATAGATCGATGCAGTTGTTTTTGAAAAGTTTTAACGACTACAGTCGATTATTTTAGATTTCGCAAAATACGCATCAGTTTGTACTAGCCGTAGTAGGCAGATTTCCATAAGATCAGCTGCAATAATGGGGCGAAATATACTATATTTGCATTAGATATTGACACAATTCGTGAAGGGCGTAAGAAAATAAACGCAACCTGTGTTATAACCGGAGATCTGTGTCGATAGGTACCTAATTGCCGTAGAAGTTTGAGTTATGTGCCCCCTATCATTTATTTATATATTTTTAATATCTATTTATTTATTTATTCTTTAATAATTTTAATTGATATTTTTCAACTTAAAGTTTTTATTAATTTACGAAAATTTATTTATTTAAAAATTTCGAAGATCGGCGTCGATCGGTACCCAATAGCATTATAAGGTTGAGATTTCTTGGTCAGAGTCACTGAAATAAACCAAAGCTTGCATCTATACTGCTGAAAGCAAAGATATCCACAACACCGATCTTAAGGTATTTCGACTTTGCTCGACCGCCGGTGGTTGTCTAGTGTGCTATTAAATGTGATTTTGCAACGGCTTTGCTGAACAAATTTGATGGTGTAAATTGACGTGTCACCTTTTCTAATCATTTGCCAAAAGCCTTACGAGGTTAAAACGGAATGGTGGAGAAAGAGGCATAAGATCTCCT